GAGAGAACAGAAGCTGTATGAGGGGCTGGTTATATCCGTCCTCAAACAGAACGGGATAATTTAAACCAGAAAAATCTAGAAGCCCAAAAAAGCTTACTGTGAAATGAAAATGTCGCACAGTCGCTTCCTCTCATTTCCCCTTACCCCTCCCCCCTCTCCCACACCCTCAGTCCCCCTTTACTTCTCGCCGTAAGTTTACTAGAAGCTTACCGCGTTCAAACAAAAAACGCATCCAACTGAAATCCAAATCCACCAGCACTTTGAACACTTTGCTACTCACACTGCACAAGCCAAAGATGCGCTTCCTGATCGAGCACAACCTGTAGCAATAGGCATCCAGAAACAACACGAAAGAAACCGCCCTGGATACCAATTTGAGGAAAGCAACTTGAAATTGAAAGACCTGGCATAGTTACGTCTGGTGCGCAAATGCATTCCAGTAACACCACTAACATGGGATACTCAAACGATTATTTGGGTCCTCTTAATACTTCTAGAAAAACACACAAATGAGAGAAGTAAAGAGCTTTATGTAATTCAGTTCTAAGGTATTACTGCCTCCAGCTAGCTTCCCAGGAAACTACTAGTACAGCATACCAACAACAAACTTGACAGCACCTACTCACTGGGAAATGGGCGAGGGGCGGAAGACGGAGAGGGAGGGGGGAACGAAAATGGGGCGAAAAAAGCTGACGGATAGAATTTTCTCCACTTTTAGCACTATAACCTGTGCTGCTGGGGCCTATTGCCTCCCTAAACCCCTTCCCTTCCCTCCCCTTGGGTCGGCCAATGATCATAATAACACACTCGGACTATGATAAGAGCTGCCCCCTCACCAACATCAACTCTCAGTCAGGCGATTTTCAGAAATCAGACTGGCGGCCATGAGGCGTGTGAATATGAGACAACAGACGGACAAAGTGGAGGATGGGTGAATGACGGCCATAAGGATCGAAATAATGACGCGAAAATACCAACAAATATCATTAAAAAAAGCCATTTTGAGCGAAAGCCGAGAAAACCACCAGCAAAGAAGGAAGGGGCTAAGTACAAGGAGAATCGCGGGCTGTTACATCAACATCTCGTAAAAAACGTCTGTCAAAGCGAGTCACGGAAGAAATTCGGGCAAAACACGTAAGTATGCCCATAGGGCAGCGCGCGAGTGGCACGGGACCATCAAACAGGAAGCGAGCAAACTGCGAAATCCAAGAAAATCCCCGTACGACCCGCAGCAGCAGCAGTACTTCTGCCCGGAGACAAGCCTGGGGCAAGAAATGGGGCCTGGCGGGGAAGCATACCCCATCTGAGAGTCAAATAAATAGCAACACGCACCAGACTAGCCGGTGCGATCATGCGTTTTGTGCAATTCAATCCATCGAACGATTTTTCACTGCTTTGTACTTTAGTCTATGCAAAAATAATTCAAACATTTGAAAACAGCTAAAAATTTCACGCACCAGCGCATGAAAGCTGTATTCGAAACTTCGAAGGGTGAATATCTTTCCGTGATTCCCAAGTTAATAGTTTAGCCGCCAAAATTCTCACGAGGCCG